GCAAGGGCACATTCCATATCTCTAACAAAGCTGTTCTAAGTTTGCCCATATCAGGTGGCATAATCATCATCACAGGAAAATAAAGAAGAGAAGACATATGATCCACATAGAAAAATAAATTATAAAACATTTCCAAATAAAAATACATATGACTTGACCACCACTGATCATTACAGGAATAATACAAGAATACCAACAGAATATTTGTGGGGAAGAGAGGCTAGAAATTGAATACAGACCCTAAAATAAAACATTAACAACTCAGGGTTTGGGGGGGCTCAGGGCTGGGGAAGGGGATTTGGGCGCCCCTTGGACGACTCCTGGTCAGTGGTGGTGCTAAGGCAGGCTTCCTGCCTGTCCTGGCACCACAGACCATGCTGCACCCTGAAAACGGCCAGCAGCAGGTCCGGCTCCTAGGTGGAGGCTCTCGCACGCAAGTACTGCCCCCCTACGTAGGAGCCAGACCTGCTGCTGGCCGCTTCCAGGGCGGAGTGTGGTGTTGGAAAAGGTAGGGACTAGCCTGCCTTAGACGGGCAGCACCGCCGATGGGGCTTTTAAAGGCCCAGTTGGCGGTGGTGACCAGAGCTGCCGCGACCCAGTGCGTTACATTCACTACCCAGTACTGGGTTGAGACCCGTAGTTTGAAAACCACTGGCCATGGGGCAGTCCTCTGGGAGGATCAGAAAGATGCCTTCTCCCCCAAATTGAAAGACATTTCACATTAAATCAGGTGAATTATCAGGCTGTGCACCACTCTCTGCTGCTATAGGTGAAATATAGAGCCTACTACAGCTAACAGTTACTCCATTAGTCAACTGTTAGAGGTCTGTGCTGTAGATCTAAAGGTTCCAACCCTTCTGGGCTCCATGGTTCCATCTGATTTATTTTTCTAGATTGCTTTTTTAAAAAATTGGGAAACAACAAAACACATTTAAAGAAAACGAAGGTTGCAAAATTAAACACCCAAAATTTAGAAATGCCAGAATTAATGTTGCCTGTGCATCTTTAATTCAGTCCCCCTGTGCTTATGTATTCATTATGATACAATTTTAAATCACATGCTACTTTTTCTATAGAAGAAGAAGAAGACCTTGCTCTAATATATTAACTTTTGAGATATCTCTCAAAGCACTTTACAAAGGATGCCAGTAACATTATCCACATTTTACTGATGGGGAAACTGAGCCACAGAGAGGAGAAGTGACTTGTCCAAGGTCACCCAACAAGCCAAGTGCAGAGTAAGGAAGAGAACACAGGTTCCCTGAGTACAAGTCTAGCGCTCTAGCCACAAGGTCACATTGACTCCCCAGAACCCTTTTCTCATTCTGTACACAGGTTGGACCACGCTCAAGGAATGAATGAAGGCTTTGTAGTGAATGAAGTTATCATCTGTGTACAGCCTCTGTTTCACTGAAAGCTAGACAAATTCAGACTAGAAATAAGGTGTACATTTTTAACGGTGAGAGCAACTAACCATTGGAACAATTTACCAAAGATCATCAGAGAGTCTCTATCAGTGATAATTTTTACATCAAAATTGGATATTTTTCTAAAAGCTATGCTCTGGGAATTATTTTAGGGAAGTACTAGGGCGTGTGCTATACATGTCAGAATAGATCATCACAGTGGTCCCTTCTGGCCTTGGCATCTCTGAATCTATTTGTTAAAGAACTTGAAAGATGAACAGACAAAGGATGGTCTCATGACTGAGGCAGCTAGATTCTAGACGTCTGTCTGCTATACAAGTCCTATGCAATACAGGGCAAGTTATTTAACCAAATTTAGCTAACTGTGTGCCCCTCATTTCTGAGTGCCCAACTTGAATCATACAGATTTGCAGAAGTGCTGAGCACTCAACTGCAAAACAAGTCAACTGGAATGGTGCTTTGAACATATCAAGTACAAATGTTAATTACTCTGAAAAATCAAGACCTTGGTGTCTCAGATGAGGAACTCCAAATTAGTTGATACAGTGGAACCCCAATTATCCAATCTAATTGGGCCAGATCAGATAACCAAAAATCCAGATAAACCGGAGAATGGGCGGTGGGGCTCCAGCTGTCAGCCCCGGGCGACAGGGCTCTTGCTAATAGCAAGTATCAGGGGGTAGCCGTGTTAGTCTGTATCTACAAAAACAACAAGGAGTCTGGTGGCACCTTAAAGACTAAGATTTATTTGGGCATAAGCTTTCGTGGGTAAAAACCTCACTTGCATCCAAAGAAGTGAGGTTTTTACCCACAAAAGCTTATGCCCAAATAAATCTGTTAGTCTTTAAGGTGCCACCAGACTCCTTGTTGTTTTTGCTAATAGCAGGAGACCCAGCTGCTATCAGCCGCAGATAGCTGGTGGTTCAGTTAATATGGAGAGCTGGAAATGGAGACTCGGTTAAACAGGGTTCTACTGTACTGACAATTTTGGCCCTAATGTCTCTGTGCATCAGCACAATGGAGAGAGTACATTCTGCTTAGACATTAACAACTTCCCATTGACAGAAGTGTTTTCCTGGGAACCAATCCTGTCCCACTGACTTTAAGGCTAATGGGATTTGGATTCTGGCACCAGGCATGCTACTTATTAAGAATGCAGTTTGGAAGAAAGATCCCAGATGCAGGCAGGTTTGCATGGCTGCAACCGGGAAAGGAAGCACTAAGATGTACAGCCAGGGGTCAGCATTCGGCATGTCCCAGTGCTTCCTTCTAAGGCTGCAGCTCCACTAACCTGCCTACATGAGCTAAGGGGCTGCAGGCCAGGCTGCTATGGGCAGGGCATTAGTGGGAAAGGGGGGGGGGTTGGCTGCCCAGATGCAGGAGCTGCACATTATCCTCATCCAATCTATGATCCGTAGAAATTATCTGCAGATATCTGTGGATTTGCAGGGTCCAAGCAGCCCCCCACCCAGTGTCCCAGCCCCCCGCCCAGGGCAGGTGGAGGGACCCAGGCTCCCCACAGCTGCCAGCATGGCTCTCCCCGACCAGGCTCTGCTCAGGGAGGGGGGCGGCTCAGAACCACAGCCCGGCCACGATAAGAGCCGGGTGGGCAGCTGTGGAGAGCCACAGTGGACCCTCCACCTGCCCTGGACATGGGGCCCAAGCAGCTCCCCCTGACCCCCAAGCCCTCCGCACAGGGCAGGTGGAGGATCCGCAACCGCCTGCTCTTATCGTCAGAGCCCTGCGTGGATACAAAATTTGTATCTGCATCCGTACTGGTATCCGCAGAAATGGTCCACAGATATATATCTTCCTACTGTATTTTCCACTGCATGAATCCGATGAAGTGGGTTTTAACCCATAAAAGCTTATGCCCAAATAAATGTGTTAGTCTCTAATGTGCCACAAGTACTCCTCGTTCTTTTTGCAGATATGAAGTGGATGGATACCCGTGGATTTGCAGGGCTCTATCCACTTGTGTTCTGCTGGGGTGCTGCAGTCAAAGAAGGAAGTGCTGGGATGTGTTCAGCCAGGACTCCTGGAGAGAGGTAGAGGTATGTCTGTGGGCCCCAGTGCCTTGTAAAAAAGCCACACCATCTAGGCTGCAACCTCCTACTCTGCTGCTACCCTGCCCATAGGCACATTTGGAGGCACGCAGACAGGGATGGCATATTGAAGTGCTTTCTTTCCTGGCTGCCAAACTGTCTTCCACTTATTAGTAACCACAGAATAATGGCAATTTTTTGCTGGCAATCAAAGGGATTGCTAATAAGAGGAATCTACTATGCCACCACCTCATTAGAATGTTTTGAAGCTAAATTCATTAATGTTTGTGAAGCCCTCAGTATGCTCAGATCATTACAGAAAAGCCCATGAGTACATTAATAATTCCGTATTCAGTTCAAGGTTTAACCTGTGTGTAATAATGAAGGCCTAAGACCACATTAAATAGGGGAATATTGAACACAACATATGAATAGATAAGCCACTGAGTACCGACCATACAGTCTAGTGTATGACACAGAGGTCCTAGAAAACAAAGTGTATGATTATGTAATTAATGACTATCTTCTGAGGGCTTGACTTCACAACCATTATTATTACAACTATTATTTAAGTGTAAATGCTTTTTGGTACATAATTCTGTATAAGTACTTAGAATATTTGCTCTCTTTCTCCTAGCCTTGGCAATACTGGAAGATGTTTGGGAAATACAAAATACAGGAACATAAAGTTCTTCTAGTTTAATGAAATTGTGCCTGTCTGGGTCACCTGCTCTATTTCTTTATTTGTTCTTCTTTCCTTATTCCCACTCATTCTCTTCAACTACATATTATTTTATTCCTCAATTGCTCTTTCATAATCCCATTTTCCTTCAATACACAAGATCTCCCTTATTCTTAGATTCTTACATATTAGCCTCATTACTGAGCCACTCTCTTTTCCACGGTATTTTATATTCCACTTGCTCCTTATTCTTTTCTATACCACGTCGATGTCCCCTAGTCTCATTTCTCTCCCCCCCCCCGCCCCACAACAACGCTGGAAGCATAGATTATAAACTACAAACAAAAAAGACTCTCGCCTGATAACGGGGTCTGGCCCTACGTCTAACTGCTGCAGAGCTGGTGCCCGTCAAGTACACACCGGCAGAGCCCTTAAGCTGCTCACAGCCAACGCGTTCACCCCCGCCGGAGCCCGCAGACCGGCCGACCAAGAAGGTAACCATCTGTGGCCAGCGAAGCGACGACCCGGGGGCAGGCGAAGGGCCGGGGAGCTGCAGCAAGCCCCTCGGGCACGGGAAGGTGAGGGAGAGCCCAGCCCGCGTCTCACCTGCAGCTTGGGCCGGCGGGCCAGATAGGGCCAGATGCAGCCTGCCGCGCCTCCCGCCTGCTCCTCCTTGGCCGGGCCCGGGGCGGGGCAGGGCCGCGTACAGACGATCCCGTACATCACCCAGCACGTGTGCGCCACGTATACCGCGAACACCCCCACCACCAGGCTGGTGAACGAGCTGCGGCTCAGCATGGCCCCGCCGCCACCGTCCGCGCAACCGCCGCCGGGGTCACCCGAGCCGCCCCTGGCCACAGAACGCCGGCATCCTCGGCACCCAGCGCGCGCCCGGCACCGCCCGGTCCCTCCTCGCGCGTCGCGACTTCCGAGAGACAGCGGAAACACGTGACCTGCCTTTCCCCGCAAGAGGCCTCAGGGAAAGGTAACTGGTTCCTGCTGGGAGGACAGCCCCGCCCCCACCAGCATCGATCCCACCCCCCAACTACTGCTGACGCGCCCCGTTCCACCCGCACCGTCACCCAGCGAGCTCGCGGAGCAGCGGCGGGGCCTCGCACAGTGCCATGCTGGGTCCCGCTGCTGCCGCTCTGGCGGCAGCGCGACCAGACCAAAGTCTGTAGGGCGGACAGAGACTTTTCCGGGCCCCCTCCCTGCGAGCCCAGTCCCCGCCACGCATTTGCCCGCTGGCCGCTATGTGCCTGGGCCCTGGCGCCCGATCAGTCACCCCCTGTGCAGCTGGGCTTGCCAGGTGCCTGGTTTTTGTCTGGAAAGTCTGGTCAAAAGGGGACTTGTATAGTGGCCAGTCAGCTATATTGACCTGACACCAAAAGTCTAGTTACCACCAGTCGGGGGAGGCCCCAGGTCATTAACTCATGACAGCTAGGCAGCCTCCTATGCAGCTTTCTCACAATGCTCCTGTATCCAGCCACCTGTAGTGGGAGGCCTCCTTGCATCGCTCTCTAATTGCCCCCTTACCCGGGCTTCTCTGCATCCCAGCATTTTCCCCTGCTCCTGTACTAGAGTCTCTCATTCGCTCCCCTATGTCAGCAATTATATGTGTCCTCCTGTCTCCACCATTCCCTCACTTCACTTGATGCCAGGAGCTCTGTCTGTCCCCCATTCCCATCTCCAGCTCCTATTAGGGGCTCTGTGTGCATCCTCCCCACTATGAGGGTCTTCCAATTTCTCCCTGCCAAAGGTTCATCCTCCCTTCCCCTACACCAAGACCGCCCATTCCCACACCATGGCAGATGGTTTGCCCCCTGAGCTAGGGGCTTTGTGTGCCCCCTCTCCCATAACAGGGTCCCCACTTTCCCACATTTTCCCCTTCCCCCATGTAAAGGGGTGTGTTCACACTGTCTTCCACCCTTCCCCCTCACTATTATCATTTATCTGAGAGAAGGGAGGATGGGCAGGGTATTGTTTTATGGTGGAAGGTATTAATGGGACCTGTCAATCAGTTGTTTGATCTATAAACAATTGCAAAAATGTTTGTAGTTGTTGCTGAACTAAACAGATAGGGGGCTTCTGTGTCCCCCCATTTTCCCAAAAAATTGTTAGAATTTTGGCCATTGATACCTAAAATGTTCCCTGAAATTTTGGAGTTGGTTGGATGTAGCATTGAAAAGATATGTTACAGACAAATTATTACAAAAAGGATATCAAGTTTAGTTATTGGTCTCACAAACTCAGAGTTTATGCAGATAGAGTCTTCCACTCTTTGCGCTCACATGCAGCCTCCCACACTACAAAGTTGGATCATCCTAAATCCACATTTTTTGACATAGATTTGTATGTGTCCGCACCTAAATTAGTTTCCTATCAACATAAACACCCCATTTAATCAACATAATAATACCACCTCCCCAATGATGCAGAGTGAAAGTCAACTTACTTCTGTCCACACAATACAAGTCTAAACACTGCATTAGCTTTGTTGACCCTAACGGTCCTCCAGCAGATGCTCCTGTACCCACAACATTGTTTGCTCCAGGCCCAATTTTTGAACTCCATTGCCCAGGTGCATAGACGACTTGTGCCCCCTGATACTGGGGATGGGGGAGGAGGGGAAAATTTAAAGGGGAGGCCATGAGACCACCCCACAGCTGGGGCCACAGGAGCAGGGAGCATGTGTCTCTGGGCCCAGCTGCGGCCAGTCCTGGCCACGGAGTCTCACAGCACCAGTGTCTCTCCGGCGTTCGCAGATACCTCATCAGGGGAGACATGGGGCACAGGCAATGCCCCTACTTCCAGCTGAGCAGAGGCCAAGGAGCCTGCTCCTGGCGCTTTCCCCAGCAACCCCACACCCTGCACCCAAACCCGGAGACCACTGTGATCTCCACACCCCACCAGATTTACCTACGGAGTGGGGGCTCTATCCTCCTGCTGGATAGAGGATAGAGCCCCCCGGCACATTTCTGGCTTGTTCAACCTCTCCCCCTGACAGCCAGGCCCAGGCAGGGAGCAGGATGGAGCCGCTGCTCACGCCAGCTGAAGGTGGCTGCTCCAGGTCACTGCATCCGTGCAGCGCAGCAGCTACCTGAAAGCGAGTCCAGCTGGGGAGATGGCGGTGGCCCAGCCCCTCTGCTACCCGCCTGGGCCTGGCTGCTGGAGATGGGGTCTGAGCTAGCCAGAAATGTGATTGGGGGGTGTGGGGGGCGGGGGGAGAGGAGCTCTGGTTTGCTCGGCCCCCAACAGTCGGGCCCGGGTGGACAGTGGAGGAGGTGGGCTGCCACCACCTCCCCAACCGGGTTCTGGCAGGCAGCCTCCACCCTGCACAGAGCAGCACCCATGAGCAGCCACCCTCAGTCAGCATGAAAAACGGCTCAGTCCTGCCCTTTCTGCTCCCCTCCCAGGCCCAGCTGCCAGGGAGAGGGGCCATATGTGCCAGGGGGCAGGTACAGCAGGAGGACAGACCCCCTCTCCAGACCTCCCCTCTCAGCAGGCCGAGCAGAAATCTGGGGCAGCACTTGACCTTGCATGCCCCCTGACATGTTCACCTATGCACAGGGGTCCCAGATACACTCTTTAAAACCCCAGTCTTGCCTTGTCCACTGTGGTGAGCACACCTACTTGCCTGCCTTTGTAAGCAGCTGACCAGGCTGGCTCCATGCAGACAGAGAGCTACACCTAAACATGCACTTGCCTGGAGGTGGGCAGAAGTATCAGGGCCAGGGCATAGGCAGCCAGGCTACGATGGTACTTCTTTAAGAGCTGTTGCAGCAGCTGTGAGCAGAATATGCTGCTGTGTTGGGAGATCTGCATGTATCTGGGGACTGGGAGGACTTGGGAGCTACCAAGAATAGTTATCCTTCAAAAGTTGAATCTTGTCATTGAAGATGTAACAGTTTGTCACATTCTGGGATGCAATTCAGACCAGTGACAGGTTGTGTCACCACTTGTGTTTTAACCTCAGTGCCCTAAAAGCTTCTGCTACAGATCTGTCGCATCTTACGCTGGGGTTACGTTCCGCAGTCAGCACGTAAGGCGAAAATTGCGTATAGTCAAAATGACCCTTGAAAATCCCTTAAAATCACCCATAAAGTACAGTTTTGTGTATACAACCCTGTCCATATTATGTATTGTATACAGCAATGTACAGTACAGTATATAATAAAGACTACATATGCAAAATATAATTTTACATATTTTAAATAACAGAGAGACGGAAGAATGAAAGAAAAAAAAATGAAAACAGTACAGTACAGTAAACCTGAACAGTCACCAGTCATTCTGGGTATTCTTGCTAGTCTTGTACTGTACACACTCCAATGATTAGTCTTCCTCTTCCCCTGACACCACTATCATTGAGTCATCAGGGCTTGATGTCGATCCAGGAGACGATGGGCCGGGCTTGGGTGACGGAGAGCGAGTCGTAGACGAAGTGGTTGGCTCTGGTTCAGCTCGAGAAGTTGATTATGTAGGCTCTGCTGCTGCTGGTCGTTTTTTCTTTAAAAACATGGTGATTGGTAACTGTCGCTGTTGTCTCTTGAGCGCCTCAAACATTTCTTGGTACGGTCTCAAATCATCTGTAATACCACTTCAGAAAATGTATGAAGATTCCAAGTTGCTAGCTCTTCCTGTTTGTCATCATCTTCGTCTTCTGTAGATGATTTTATCAGTTCCTTTAACTCTTTGTTATTCAATGTTTCTCTATGGCCCTCAATTAATTCCTTGAGGATGTCGATGAAGCCATCACCACCCACTTGCCTGGCCACCTGAACAATGAGTTTCACTTCTTTGTCAATGGTTGGGAAACCCTTAAAATCATTCACACAGTATTCCCATAGGTTTCACCAACATGAATTGACTGTTTCAGGCTTGATTGCATCCATTGCCTGTTTAATATAAGTGATGCAATCAGCAATGTTGAAGGACTTCCAACACTCCATCACATTAACATTGGAATCAGCATCCATAGCGGTAAGGATCCATGAGAATTTAAGCCTCGTGTACGTGGCCTTGAAACAGCTAATGACGCCTTGGTCGAGAGGTTGGAGGATGGAGGTGGTAGTTGGGGGGGGGGGAGGGGGAGGAAAGACTACTTCAACGTGGTTATGCGCAAACCGGAGTGCCGCAGGGTGGCCAGAAGCATTGTCTACGATCAGCAACACTTTAAAGTCAAGTCCTTTCTCTTCAAGGTACTGCTTGACCTCCAAAATGAAACACTTGTGGAACCAATCCAGAAATAATGCTGCTGTCACCCAAGCCTTTTTATTTGATTGCCAGAACACAGGCAGGAGATTTTTGTTCTTGCCTTTTAGGGCACGGAGATTTGTAGCCCTGTAGAGCAAGCCCGGCTTTATTAAATGCCCAGCCGCATTGCCACAAAGCAACACAGTCACACGGTCTTTAGCTGCTTTGAAGCCAGGGGCTTGTCTTTCTGATTTTGAAACGTCAGTGCGGGTGCGCATTTTTTTCCAGAAGAGCCCAGTCTCGTCAGCATTAAAAACTTGTTCTGGAAGATAGCCCCTTTCCTCTATGATTTTCTTTAATTGTTTGGGGTAGGCTTTTGCTGCCTCCTCATTGGCAGATGCAGCTTCACCAGTAGTCTGCACGTTTTTGAGGTTGAAGCGGTTCCTAAAACTGTTAAGCCAACCTTGGCTGGCTTTGAATTTCTTCTTATCAGAAGGCTGTCCCTCTTCGGCAGGAGATTTGAACAGCGCATAGATGCTAAGAGCCTTTTCTTGCAACATGTTGCCATTGCTAGGCACACGTTTATGGTTCATGTCTTCCAGCCATAAATTTAATGCTTTTTCAGTCTTCACTAAAGTCTTATCACGCACTTGGCTCGTCACCTTAGCAGTTACTGGAGCACTTGATGCCATGGCTTGACGAATTTCTCTCTCTCAAATCTAGATTTGTTGCGGCCGTACTTACGCGCCACGTTGGTGATGGACATACTGTCTCTCAATAAGTCCAACACAGCCAGTTTTTCCTCCAGCGTTGTTGAACAGATCGCTGTTTCTTCAGTTGAGCACCAGATGAAGTAGGTGGCTTGTGTTTGGGGGCCATGTTATACGAAAAATACATACTGTATCTTGAAACAGTACAGGTACAGTAGAATCTCAGCGCGGAGAGATGTGCACAGTATGAGAGGCACAGGGGGACTGAGTACTGTAGTGGGAACAGCAGATTCACGTCTCCCACTCACTCCGGGGCATACACACTATTTAAACTTTTTTTTTTTTGTCCAACCCTCCAGGGTTATTATAGGGGAGAACCTTATCACAGGCCTAAAGACATGCTGTTGCTGTCAAGTCCCACCCCAAAAATATTTTAGTGGGAACAGCAGATTCGCGTCTCACGCTGGTGGAATTGCCCGCACTTTTCCTCCCACCCCTGACCGCATAAAGCTGAAATTGCGCATGTTAAATGTGCATAAGATGCAACAGACCTGTATTTGTGGCTCCTTAGTTGGGGCATATATATAGGCAGCAATGAGCACACACTTTGTATGCTCTACGGCTCTGATTCAACCACTTTGAACCCAACAGTCTGCCAGCAGTTATCAGACACACTTTTGTTTTTAATAGACTTGGCTAGTGTTAGCAGGTGACCCCAACACACTCACAGTCCCTAACTTCTCCATACCGATGTGCTCTGATATGTCCAGCGCTCTCCTGCAACATTCAGAGGAATAATAAGATGCGTTTACTCATTTAAGGAGACAAAACCTACCAGTTTGCCACATTAACTGGACTTGACATTCGTTTTATTACAAACACAGCACTGTAGGTTTAGGTTAATAGTAAAACAATTTATTAACAAAAGAAGATAGGATATTAAGTGAGTTCAAATGTAAGAGATAAAGTTAGAAATCTAACAAGCAAATAATAGTGAAAATATGCCTCTAAAAGTCTAAAATTTAATCTAGCAAATTTTGGTTCAAGGCTTTGTACAAAATAGCCTTTCTCACCCACAGTCTTCCAGCAAGATGATGACTGACCCTCTCCTCAGTCAGGATCTCTTCCAGATGCCCAAAGGTGCTGGTGCCTTTGTCCTCTTAGGTGAAAGGTTCTCTGCCCCTTTCTTTATAGTCCATTGAATCTTTGAAGTGGATTCTTCTGCAGGATATCCTGTGACACCGGTAAACCATGTGCTAGCACTTGCCAACGCTGTATACATCAGCTGAGCACTGACAAACTCATAGCCGGAAATCAGACCAGCTCACCTGTATGTTGTTATTGTTCCAAGATACGTGTTAGACTTGTAAAAACGTGTTTAGACTCTATAAAATGCTTGTAAATTGCTGCATGCATTAATTTTTCTTGTAATGTCTGTGTTCCATGCTATAAGGTAATATGTAAGTTTTGCTTTATAACTGTAAAAATGCCTGCTCTGAACTTGTGTACCCAGGCAGGAAGAGTGGTTCCCCTACCCATCAAGAAGGACTGTCAAAACTACAGTGGTGCACCCGTAGGAACACACATCTTGAAGAACCATTGTTACTGCACAAGGTGAGTCACTTCTTCTTGTCTAGTAAAGTTGTACTCAGAACAGGGGAGGAATTTTGAGTCAGAGGCTGTGCAAACTGTATGGTATAGTCGAAAGCTGAAAAACACTATCAGCTGCAAGACAATCTTCAGTCCAAGAAATTTAATCGGACAATGCATCACACGCTAAGGACACTCCTGCCTGAAAAGAAGTGAGCCTGGCAGGAACATCTCCCTGAGTTGGTGCTGGCCGACAACAGCCATGTCCATTCATCAGTGAGTTATGTCACTTTTTATCTCATGTTTGGGAGAGATCCCAGGTTGTCATTAGATATCCTGGAGAGAGAGGGCCACGAGGAGGATATGGTGACCAATTTGGACAACTGGGTCAAAGGTTACCATGAAAAGCTGAAGACAGCCTGTGAAGTTGCTCTACAGCTCTAGACACAGCCCAAAGTAGGAAGAAGACTTATGATCGCAAGTTCATTGGGGCTCTCATCAGACCTGGTGACTGTGTACTAGTTCATAACCATACACACCAGGGATGTAATAAAATACAGGACAAGTGGGAGTCAAATCCACACATTGTAGTTGCTCACAACAATCCTGAGCTTCCAATGTATACTATTCGGCCTGGACAAGGAGTTCCTGAGAGAGCAGTATATAGGGACCAGCTAAAACATTGTATTTTTACTCCAGTCAGGGACCATAGGATGCACAGAGGCACATGCCTGGGAGAGACTGAAACCAATGGGGTATGATTCTAATCCCACAAACTGAGTACTGAAGAGAACAGGGTGTGGCAAACCCAAACCGTGATGAAAATGGTCAGATCCCTCAAATTGACCTGGTGTTACCCCAGGACAGGGGAATAGAACCACCAGCGTTAAGAAGGTACAAGAGAACTAATCAGTGTGTACCACCTGTTAATCTTAGAGATGATTATGTTATTGGTTCTATGCATTGTTTTAATTAATCTTACAATGTACAGTATAAAGAAGTTAAAATAGAATATTAAATAAATGTTCTTTTGTTAATTGTTAATGCTTTTCATATATAATATGATGCTTGTAAGTGTTATTGTTAATATCGGACCTGGAAGTGCTGGTATGAACATTCTAGTGGGGGAAGAATTTTAGCAAGGGGGAATGTCAGTGGGCTATTGGACTCTTACTGAAACTTGGTGGGGTTTTTTGGTTGGTGCTCTCCTAACACCAGGAGAAAGGGGAAGGGCTGAAGAGAAGTTAGGATCCTGAGACTGACACAGCCCCATGGCCAATTGGGAGAGGCCAGCACTCCAAGTCAGCCAGATTCACAGGGGAAGCAGGCAACTGAGGGAGTTGTCAGGGTTCCATCCCCACTCTGAGCTCTGGGGTACAGATGTGGGGACCCTTATGAAAGACCCCCTAAACTTATTTCTACCAGCTTAGGTTAAAACTTCCCCAAGGCACAAATCCTTTCCTTGTCCCTGGACGGTATTGCTGCCATCACTAAGTGATTTAGACAAAAATTCAGGAAAAAGGGCCACTTGAAGTTCCTGTTTCCCCAGAATATTCCCCCAAGCTCCTTCCCCCCCTTTCCTAGGGAGGCTTGAGAATAATACACAGACCAAACCCCTGGGTTTTTAGGACACTGAAAATCAATCAGGTTCTTAAAAGAAGAATTTTATTTAAAAAAAAAACCATAAAAGAATCACACCTGCAAAATCGGGATGGAAGGTAACTTTACAAGGTAAATAAAAAGATTTAAAACACAGAGGATTCCCCTCTGACTCTGCTTTCTAGTTACAAAACAGGAATAAAATCACCTCTTAGCATAGGGAAAATTCACAAGCTAAAACAAAAGATAATCTAACACATTTCCTTGCCTTACTTACAATTTTTGTAATCTTAGATGCTCATTTCAGGTATGTTTCCAGGAGATGTTTTTTCTGCCTGGACCCTCTCTCCATCCAGAGAAGGAACAAACAAAGAGAGCACAAACAAAACCTCCCCCCCACCCCCCGATTTGAAAGTATCTTCTTTCCCCATTGGTTCTTCTGGTCAGGTGCCAACTAGGTTAATTGAACTGATTAACCCCTTACAGGTAAGGCAATTCAGTACAGCTGCCCTGTGTATATTTATGACACGCCCCCCCAAATCATAGACGGTGCTGGACAGCCTGTTCCACACTGGCTGTGATTTCTTCCTGGAGCTCTAGGAGAAAACAGAGTTAATAAGACACATGCACCTCTAGACATACTACTAATTATATAAAAACTAACTATTTTTCACATTTCAAGGACGATTTTAATCAGCTGATTCTGGGAAACTTTCACGGGACAGTGTATCAGCCACTTTGTTAGAAGCCCCTGAAATGTGTTGTATTTCAAAATCAAAATCTTGGAGAGCTAAACTCCACCGAAGAAGTTTTTTGTTATTTTCCTTGACGGTATGAAGCCACTTCAGCGCAGCATAGTCGGTTTGCAGGTGGAAATGCCGTCCCCAAACTTATGGGCGTAGCTTTTCCAGAGCGTACACAATGGCGTAACATTCCTTTTTGGTGATTGACCAGTGACTTTCTCTCTCAGGCAGTTTTTTGCTGAGAAACATAATAGGATGGAATTCTTGATCCGGTTCTTCCTGCATTAAAACTGCTCCCACACCACACTCGGCTGCATCTGGGTTACTGGGGCCCTTAGCACAGGGTAAGACATGAGTGTCACTTTAAGCTGGTTAAAGGCCTTCTGATATTCTTTAGTCCACTGAACTGCATTTGGCTGTTTCTTTTTGGTTAGGTCTGTCAGTGGGGTGGCAATTTGGCTGTAGTGCGGTACAAATCGCCTGTAATGTCCGGCCAAGCCTGAGAAGGATTGGACCTGTTTCTTGGTCTTTGGGACAGGCCACTTTTGGATAGCATTCACTTTGGCCTGTAGGGGGTTGATAGTTCCTTGACCCACCTGGTGTCCAAGGTAAGTCACTCTGTTTAGGCCTATTTGACACTTTTTAGCCGTAACAGTTAGTCCTGCCTCCCTTATGCGCTCCAAGACTTTTCATAGATGTTCCAAGTGTTCTGCCCATGAATCAGAAAAGATGGCCACATTGTGAACATAGGCGACTGCAGATTTTCCCAATCCGGCTAGGAGACTATCTACAAGTTTCTGGAAGGTGGCAGGTGCATTTTGCAGCTCCAAAGGGAGCACATTAAATTCATACAGCCCTACATGGGTGATGAAGACTGACCTTTCCTTGGCAGATTCATCTAGCAGTACTTGCCAGTACCCCTTGGTTAAGTCTAAGGTAGAGATGAACTGGGCACATCCCAGTTTTGTCAATAGCTCATATGTGCGTGACATTGGATAGTTGTCTGGGTGAGTCACAGCATTTAGCTTATGGTAGTCCACGCAAAAGCGTATTTCCCTATCTGGTTTGGGAACTAGAACCACGAGATGCCCATGCACTTTTAGATGGGCAGATTACACCCACCTGTAGCATATCCTGGATCTCCCGTTCTATAGCAGTTTTGGCTTGAGGGGCCACCCGGTAAGGTTGGGCTCTAATTGGGTGAGCATTACCTGTGTTAGTGGAGTGGTATGCCCGTTTGGTCCATCCTGGGGTGGCTGAGAATATCGGCATGAAGCTAGTGCACAGCTCCTTGATCTGCTGTCGCTGCATACGTCTGAGGGTCATGGAGAGGTTCACCTCCTCCACGCCACTATCACTTTTTCCTCCATAGTAGACACCTTCAGGCCACTTGGCGTCATCTCCTCCCTGGGCCGTAAACTGACAAACCTTTAATTCTCTGGAATAAAAGGGCTTTAGAGAATTAACATGGTACACTTTAGGCTTTAGGTTTGAGGTGGTGGATGCTATGAGATAGTTAACAGCTCCCGGGTGCTCTTGGACCGTAAATGGCCCCTCCCACGATGCTTCCATCTTATGGGACTGGAGCGCCTTCAAGACCATGACCTGGTCCCCTATTTTGAAGGAATGCTCTCTGGCATGTTTATCATACCAGGCCTTTTGTTCTTCCTGAGCATCTTTTAGGTTTTCTCTAGAAAGGGCTAAAGAGTTTCGGAGGGTGTTTTGTAGGTTGTTTACAAAGTCTAGAATGTTAGTTCCTGGAGAAGGCGTAAACCCCTCCCATTGCTGCTTCACTAACTGTAATGGCCCCTTAATCTCACAGCCATACACAAGTTCAAATGGTGAAAAGCCCAAACTGGGATGTGGTACAGCCCTGTAGACAAAAAGCAACTGCTGCAACACTAGGTCCCAATCATTGGAATGCTCATTTATGAATTTACGTATCATGGCCCCCAAAGTTCCATTAAACTTCTCCACCAGGCCATTTGTTTGATGGTGGTAAGGGGTGGCAACCAAGTGGTTCACCCCATGTGTTTCCCACAGGCTTTTCATGGTCCCTGCCAGGAAATTAGTTCCCGAAACTGTAAGGATGTCAGAGGGCCAACCTACCCTGGCAAAAATGTCTGTTAATGCCTGGCACACACTTTTAGTTCTGGTGTTGCTTAGAGCTACTGCTTCCGGCCATTGGGTGGCAAAATCCATGAAAGTCAGTATGTATTCCTTTCCTCTGGGTGTCTTTTTTGGGAAAGGACCCAGAATATCCACAGCTATTCGCTGAAATGGAACCTCAGTTATGGGGAGTGGCTGGAGAGGGGCTCTGACCTGGTCTTGGGGTTTTCCCACACTCTGGCACACCTCACAAGACCTCACATAGGTAGAAACATCCTTGCCCATTACTTCCCAGTGGAAGGACTTCCCCAAACAGTCTTTGGTCCTGTTCACCCCAGCATGGCCACTAGGATGACTGTGGGCTAAGCTTAAGAGCTTTACCCAGTACTTAGTTGGAACTACCAACTGTCTTTGAGGATGCCAGTTCTCCTCGTGCCCACCAGAAAGAGTTTCCTTGTATAAAAGTCCTCTTTCTATAACAAACCAGGATCGATTAGAAGAGATGAGTGGCTTGCTCTGTGCTGCCATCCAAGCTCCCTGGAGACTGTCATCTGCTTCTTGCTTGGCCTGGAACTGTTCCTTTGATGCTGGAGACATCAGTTCCCCACTGGATAGTGAACCTGGACTTGGTCCCTTTGACAGCAATGTAGACGATGGGGTCGTTTCCATTGTCTGTGAACCGCTTTTCGCAGGTGCACCAGGTTATATTTCAGGCTCTGGCTGAGCCTCTTGTGTAGTGTACACGGGTTTGCCAGGGCTCGACCCTCTCCGGGGCGGTGGGGAGCCACATTGGTTCACTACACACTGGTGCTTGGGTACTTCGTCCGGCTGCAGGGTCTCCCTCGGCAGCCCTTGCGGTCCTGGAAGACACAGTAAGCCCGACCCTGGCTCAGGGCGGGGCACCAAAGCTACGTGAGGGGCTCAGGCCCTCAGTCAGGGCTGAGCAACAGGCAGGAGTATTTAGCCCAGACCCTAGGTCAGGGCAGGGCAACAAACGCTGAGTCAGGAGCTCAGGCCCTCAGGCAGGGCTGAGCAACAATAGTAGGCCCAAGCCTCAAAAGGCCTTGGAGAGGGGGAGACTGCCACCCACGGGTTGGGTGGCAGGGGGACACAGGCCCTCCCTCTCCACTGCGTCCCAGCCCGGGGCCCTAGCAGTGGCAGAAGACCCGCTGCTGTCAGTGGGGATCCTGGCCGCAACACACTGACATAGGCTCTGGCAGTGCTGCAGCCAGACTGGGGTCGGCTGTCCCCGGGCTACTTCCACACTCCCACTCGGGGCCTACCTGGGTCCTGGTGTCGGTCTCTGGGGGATCCAGGATCATGGGTTCGTCAGGGCAGGGATTGATCAGCAGGTCCGGCAACTCCTCCGGATAGCGGGCGCAGGGCAGGTCCGGCGGCTCCTTCGGATAGCGGGCGCAGGGCAGGTCCGGCG